ATAAGGTAGTGGTAAAAAAACAAAATCAAATGATTTGGAAAAAACACTCCATTCAAATGAAGGAAAGGAAATAGAATCAGAGAAAAGGCAGAACAAACAAAACGCTAATAGGTGGCAGACTTAAACTCAGATATATTAAGTGCATTAAATGTAACTGGATTAAAAAGTTTCAATTAAAAGACAAAGTCTGCTAGCTAGAAATAAAATGCCTGCTGTTTAAAAGCAATACGTAGAGCATAAAGACACAGAAAGGCTTAAAGTAAAAGAATGTAACAAGATACACATCATGCAAACATTAACCCAAAGAAAGCTGGGTTAGCACACAAAATAGAACTTAAAGAAAAGGGAACTAGTAAAGATAAAGAAGCTTCTTCATAGTGATGAAATGTTCAATTTACCAAGAAGATACAACAATTCTAAATCATACTCATCTAATAGCATAACCCCAAAGCAAAACAAAAAGTAGCAGAAATGCACAGAAAAACTAATTCATAATTAAAGTTTAATTCATAATTAAATATACCTCTCTCAGTATTTAAAAGAAGAAGCATACAAAAATCAGTCAGGTTGTAGCAGATTTGAAGAACATGATTAATACACCTGAATCAGGGTGATATAGAACATCCAAACTCAATAATTGCAGAAGATATTTCGTTTTCAAAAATATATGAAAGCTTTAGAGATAACAATATACTAGACCATAAAGAATTAAAATTTCAGAGTATGTCCTCTGATCACAATGTAATTAAGCTAGAAATTGATAAGCAAACAATGCTCTAAAAATCCCCCATGTGGTCTAATATAAGAAATATACTTCTAATTAACAAATGGGTCAAAGAAGAAATCATAAAGATAATTAGTAATGGATAATTGATGGATAACAAAACTAGTATACATACAAATTTGTGGAAGTCAGGGATCAGGATTTAAAAGAAAATTATACTAAAAATGACAATAACCTTACACCAAAATTTTTGAAAATTTAGATGAAATTGACAAATTACTAGAAAAATACAACTTAAAAGGCTGATATAAAAATAAACAGAGTATAAAACATTCCCATGAAGAAAATGCCAGGCCCAAATGGCTTCACCAGCAAGTTGTTCTAAATATTAAAGGAAGAAATAACGCCAGTCTTACAAGAAATCTTGCAGAGATCAGAAAAAGAGGAGACACTTTTCAAGTAATTTTACAAGGTCAAGATAACCTTGATTCCAAAACTCAACAAGGAAGAAAAACTGCAGGCCAATCTCACTATGAACAGAGTTTCAAATATTCTAAATAAAATATTAACAAATTGAATCCAGCTATACATAGAAATAATACAATATGACCAACTTTGATGTGCCCCAGGAATTCAAAGTTGTTTTAACCTTAGAAAAGTCAATGTAATTTAGTGCACTTACTAAATATTATGATGGTTTGCACAGAGGCAGAAAAGGCATCTGATAAAATTCAACATCCTGTCAGGATAATATTAGCAAATGACCGAAAAAAAAAATCAAGCATTGTATTTAACGGTGAAATGTTGAACATTTCTTTCTGAGATTGGAGGAGGACAAGAATGGCATTGCTGCTCCTATTCAACGTTACGCTGGAGGTTTTAGAGCCAGTGCAGGAAGACAAAAAACAGAATGAAAGGTGAAAGATTAGAAAGAAACCCAACTGTCCTTTTCACAGACGATATGTATGCACAGCAAAATCCAACAGATGCCACTGATTATTCGGATTCATGAATGTGTAGCAAGTTAAGCTCATCCAAAATCAAGGCACAAAAATCCACTGTGCAGGCAAGTGTTCTGTTTCTTTCCCTGGGTAGTGGCTACATGAGCATTTGCTTATTAATAATTTAAGCTGCACATTCACGTTTTGCACACCTGTTTTATTGACCCTTACCCATGCTCGTCCCCTAGAGATGTCCTGCTTTTCCTGAGAGGTTCTACCAGCTTGATGGAGAAGAGACAGGTTTGTAGCACTCAGCCTGACAAGCAACGGTATACTTATATGAAAACATTTAAAACTTTAATGAATATTTTTGATGCTCACAATTTGGCTTAATTCCATTCCTACTTTACTGTTTAAGTTTCTCTTTAAAGCAACCATTTCCTTTATATCGTTTACAATAGACCCTGCAAAACCATGACGGAAGCTATTCATCCATCAAAGCATACTACTTCCCTCTAGATAGCTTACCTTAAAATAGACTTAACAATGCTATGTACCTGGCATTCAGTCAAAAAGATTTGTATATTATACTTGGCCCCTGATGCATCGATCTATACATTAGCCTATCCCCAGAGGAAAGGATGATTCAGAAGGAAAAAAAACAATTTGCTAAAACCTGCATAGCAAGTCACGGTAAATAGAACCGAAACGTTTTCTTAAAGACAAAGTAGAACAATTTCTTTTCAATCACTGATCGATAGATTAAAAAATAAGTTGGATATAAATGTATGGTCCCAAACAAGCACTCTCTGACTCACTTATTGTTAGTTGCACGGAACACTGTTAAAATCCATTGGAAGCGCGAAGAGCCACTGGCCAAGGGTGGCAGCGAGAGCATCCCTGTCACTGAGTCTAAAATCAGAATAGAAAAGCAGAATCAGGCCTCACGCAGGGGTACAGTTTAGGGCTCTGGCAAAACTCCCATGCTCCTAGGGCACCTGCTTCCTCTTACAAAAACATCATGCACTTTAAATGCCTGAACCACTTTTCATCTAAAAAAAATACCATCCCGTACTGCACGATTATGGTAATAACCTTTATTATATGTTCATTAGACCTTAAAAATACAAACACTGACGTTCTTTGCCTTACCTGTTATGGCACAAGAAAGCGTAAACGAGTCTGTCAAGTAACAAAAGGATTTTGTTAAACATCCCCAAACTAATCTGTTATTATTCTGCCTGTCAGGGGGGAAAAAAAATCAGAAAACACAAATTCATATCATTTTCTATTAACCAACTAAAAATAGAGGGTAAAATGTAATTCCACTAGAAAAATGAATAAGTACTTGGAAACCATCACATTCTATAAAGGTCTAGCTTTTGGAAACTGTAACCCTGTCATTAAATTATTTCCCCAGATCCATTCACACAGTCATGTGCTGAGCCTACGAGGAGGAGGGAAGATCATTTTTTCCCCAAATTTGGTGTCTAGCTTTCTAAAAAAAGACAAAGGCACATTTTATCATCCTGGAAAAAGTGACTTCAGCGAAGCAGATAAAGTGTCTAATAAGGCCTAATTATCTCATGTTGTGATTCTTTTTAAATCACTTTTAACCTCAGGAAGAATTTTAATTATCTTGTATAATAAAGTCTTTCCTTATTTCACCCCCTCTAGGAGAAAAGACATATTAAACCTTATTTTTGTCAAAAGATAAGAGCAGTATTAAGTTTAAATTGATGTCATTATGAAGTATTCGATATCGAGATTGCAAATTTCAACTCCAGTAATTATTCGACTGGTCACAAAAAGAGCATCATTTCACCACTGACTCCTAGAAAGAGGCCGTCACTGCTGTCAGTCCACATGTGATACACCAGGGACAGTGCGGGGAGAGAGAAATGCGTTCTTTCTATTCCAGTGGAGTCTTGTGATTCCAAGGTTAAATTATTGAAGCAGTTTGGGAGGTACTTTTTAATATGATGTTCAAAAAGTTTCTTTCTCATTATCAACTCTTTAATAAACACTTCAAAGTGTCAGTGAGCTTCTCTACTGGGAAAAAATATTAATTCATAAGTTCTCCTTCCCAAACACACACTCACTTGTCTCACTGGGATTCGAGAACTCAAGAAGGAAACGTTATGCAATGTCTGCATATGGAGAGACAACGTTTCTCTTCCTCTTTTTATTTGTCCTACAAATGCAGTCCTGCCATGCTTGGCACAAAAACCTGTCTTGCCGTATGATTCCTGCATGAGGGACAGCCCCTCCAACTCGGGGGGGGGCCTCTGAAACAAGGTATTAATCTATTTTTCTCCTCTTTCTTCCTAATCTGTATGAAGTAACAGGTAGCATTGACCAGGTTCTAGGCATTGTAATAAGCCCTTCCTGGCACATTATCTCATTTATCCTCACAACTCTACCCCAGTTGCTAATGAAGTAACTGAGCCTTAGAAATTCTCAGTGGCTTCCCCAAGGCTACGCAGCTAGTGAGTGATGGAATCTGAACACATCTCTGTTCGAATCTACGGAATCCGCTCATGGAACCATCACTCCGGGTGTAACATATCCCTTTATTTTGTCAGAAAAGAGGTAGCTGTTTTCCTTTCTCAAGGATGCAATTGGGATGTTCATGACGCCTTGGAAAGGCATGGAATTTTGCACTTACTTATATTTTTGCGTAGTCATCTTTGACCCTTACCGCAGAAATGTACATGTGCATGGGTGCAACTTTGAAGCAGACCACTGGCATACTAAACCTCATGTTTAAATATGTGCTACAGAATTAAACGTGGGCACAATTCAGTTACATCATATTTTACTTAGAGGAACTCGACTTCTCTTTGGCTTACTACAACAGAAGTCTCTGTCTTCTTCTGGTCAAAGCCCACAGGCCATGGACCAGGGATGGGAGAGAAGGAGGTCATCTTCATGCATTTAGGGACTCAAACTGCCAGCAGCCCTGACATCTTGCAAAGTCCCCTTAGGTACCAGCCTCCAGCCTGGGGCCTTGCAAAGAAAGACTAGAGGATGGCAGGGAAGGGTTTTCCGTGTCAGGCAGACAGGTATCCAGAGAGAAAAGGGAAAGATCGAGCAAACAACTAGCCAGCCTTGTTCACCTTAGGCACACACAGAAATAGAAATAAGATGGAAAATTGTAACTAGGAGAGGCAGGCAGGTATATTCACTATCTTGCAGTAACCTATGATGAAAACGAAGATGGAAAAGAAGATGAAAAGTAATATGTGTGTACATGGATGACTGAAGCATTATGCTGTACACCAGAAATTGACACAATGTTGTAAACTGACTCTATTTCAATTTAAAAAAAAAAAGTGCTCGCTCCGGCAACACATATACTAAAATTGGAACAATACAGAAAAGATCAGCACAGCCCCTGTGCAAGGATGACTTTATGTCAAATAAATGAATAAATAAATAAATAAATAAATAAATAAATAAATAAATAAATAAATAAAATTACAGTATCAAACAGTTCAAGAAAAGAGTCAGTTATGGGTATTCTATAGCATGCACTGAAACTTCCATTTTTAATGTGATGCTTTTTTCACAGCCTCTCCATTTTATTAGCTATTGCCCAGTTTGTGTCTGTGTTAAGACCCTTTAAATACTCTCAAGAAGAGAGGACTACAGTTAATAGTTAATACATTAATATTAATATATTACATATTTGATAGATAGTATATGTTATAGATAATATATTAATATCAATTATATGATATTTGTGTGTTAATATTAATAATGATATGATTGAACAATATCCTGTGTGACCAAATAATTTGAATACTAGCAAACATTTATACAACATTTCTTATATGTCAGGCACTATTCTAAGTATTTGACACATGTTAACCCATTTAATAAAATCACTTATGGGTAGTCATTTATTAGTAATAAGTAAATAATGCTGCTTTAAACTGTGTTATTCAGCTTTGCCCTGGGAAGTTTAAACCATGGCCTCGTAATCTTTTTTGAACTCCTAATTTGACGAGGAAGCCCATTTTTTATTTTCAGTCAACACAAAGATAAACTTTATACAAGCTTAACTGTGTAATCTGTTCAATGCAGATTGCAAAGTCCTCTCCTGGAGTTTATAGTTCAATAGGTCTGGACGATGCCCAAGAGTTTTCAGTTTCCCTCCGTGACTCCGATGCTGTTGGCATAGATAAACCAAAAGGTTGTTTGCAAAAGTGTGGAAAACTCTTCCTAAGGAATTTAGACCACTGGACTCTTCAGAGAATGCAAGAGAATGGCTTACAAGAATGGGTGCAATTCTGAATTTCGTTAGTCATACGAAACAACGTCTCTGGATATTTATTATAGTAAGATTTCCAAAAGTTACGTTAAGCAGACAAGGTTTCAGCTGAATGTCACATTGTGCTTATACGTCTCCATAGAGGCTCTGCTAGTGTATTTGGTGGGAGTTGTCAAACCCCTTCTAAAAAGAAGAGATTCTAGAGCAGCCCGACAATTAGTGCCACCTCTAAGGGAGAAACGAGCGGGCTTCCAGGAAGAGCTCCGACAGGCAGTCCATCTCTCCGGCCAGGAGGAAGGGATGCTGGGACAATCAGAGAAGGGGGCTCAGAAAAGAGGCTCATGGAGGGCACCGTGTCTCCCACCCTCACAGCTGTACAGGTGGATACAAGCAGAGCAAGGACCCCATCCCTCGACTCTGGACTGCTTCCCGCTTTGTCATTTGAGAAAATGGCAGAACAGGACATCGTGATGGATCCCCTATTCTCTTCCTTCACGCTGTGTGGGACCACTTTGGTGCCAGAGCCGTTTCAGAGCCAGAACATGGCTGTTATCTGGGGCCTCTTCAGTTCCAACTGTGAGATCGGTTTGTAGGACATTTGTGTAAAATGAATTGTTACATGTTCTGGTCTCTGCCTCTGATTCTCTCTGCCTTTGCTAAACCGGCAATTTTTAAAGTCCTGTTTAAACCATAAATGAGCAACTAGATTCTATGTACCACAAGGGAAAGAGGTTGTTATCATCATACCAAAAGCTGACCTTTTCCTATTCCTCTGTGTTCGATGGGGAAAGACGATCAGTTGCTCCCTCCCCGCCCTCCCTTCCATGCAGCGTGGACAGAGGGTCCGGAGTGTCACCTGGCAGCCACGGGGCCACAGGCACTAAGCTCAAATGGGTAACGAAGCTCCTTAAGGAAAGGAACTGCTCCCTGAGAGTCACTCAGAGTAGCACCATGCCACCAAGCCTTTCTGTGTGAAGAAGGAAGGCAGGGCAGGAGCTGTGAGGTGGCAAAGAGGAAGGAGTCCATCGTAGCAAGGCTGCCGTTATGGTGTCACTTACTCACTCAGCCCACATTGATCAAAGGCGTCCGGCACCGTGTTGGACCCTGGAGAATGTGAGGGAAAAGGGACACACAGATTGTTCTCTACATACATTATATTCCAGCAGGAAGACCAGATCTTAAATGACTACATGCATTCTTAACTAACTGTGATTCCGATGAAGCCTATGAACAGGCTGCAGTCTGGACGGCTGCCCTGGTCCCAGGATCAGGGAAAGCTTCCTTGAGAAACTGACACTTAAGTCCTGAAAGATGCGTGGAGTTCTCTGATAAGAAGGATTCCAGGAGGGAAAAGAGCCAGGGGAAGCCCAAAGGCGGGAGCGTGGACGGTGTATTTGGGGAACTTGCAGAGAGCTTGTGTAAATGAGATTTTAAAAAGGCAAGACACCTGCAGGAGACTGGTTCCTGGACAGTTCCAATAAGGCAATGGTGAGCTCACAACTGCCTGTAAAAAGTGCTCCAAGCATCAAGGACTTGGTCCAGAATAATCAAAGCACTGTCCTCCAAGCCACCTCTGTGAAACCCAGAGCAGGTAGCGTAGGTGCTGCAGAGGGTGCTCGATGAGTGTCAGCTGAGGGATGGACAGATTAATCAGAAGTGTGAGCATGTGTATAAAACCTGCCACGCACTGGAACCTGCACTTTGGTCCATTGACTGCAAAACTGCAAAGTCATATACGTGTCTGGGCCTCTCGAATTTCAAAAGGCAGCCTAAAATAATGATTGAATTCTGAGTCTCTGTTCTCTCAAATTAATTCCCAGTGCGGCATATGCATTTTTAACCAGCTCTTCTGGTTTTTCGTCCAAATAAAATGAGAGTATTTCAAAAGATACATTGGAGTATCAATACCAGATCCTAGACAACAGAAAATTCTAAAACATTAATTCACAAGAGCCAGAAAAGAGAACAGTTATCAGAAGCAGCTGAAAACAATATGGATGATGGACTGGAAGGCCTTCCTACAAACCCTCTCCGCTCTACACACGTTTTTTCCTCATCCATCCCCACCGCTAAAAGCATTCGGCCAAAAGCTTTAGAAATTTAAAAGCAAGTTGTACTTTGCAGACAGTTGATGCTTCTCATTCATTCCATCTGTACGTATTTACTGAGTTGCGCCTGTATGTCAGGCACCGTGCTAAACGCAAGAGGTGCAGAGATGGATGTAACATACTCCTCTCCTCACTGTCAAGAATGTTAGGAGGCGTGTACAGACAGTAAGTGTTAAAGTGTCTCAGGCAGAGGATGTGGGTCTGGGGGCAGCAGAGACGCCAAGGAAGGGATAGTCAGTTCTGTCTGGGGCAGGGTCAAGAGGGGACCTGCTACGTGAAGGTCCAGGCGAGAAAGGCTCTCAGCAGAGCTGACGTTTCCTAAGTCTTCCAAGGTCCATCCTCCAGTGAGGGCCAGAGAGTGGCAGCATTCCAGACAGAACAACCACAGCAAGAGCACGGAGACTGAAGCCGCCTGCACCAGTCAGAGAACTGCATGCCGTTGGTGCAAAAGAGCACGGAGTTCAAGGTAGAGCACAGAAACAAGTCTGCTGTGGACATCTTGTATCGGTGAGAGGGCAGCTACTGAAGGAGCTCACGTCGGGGAGTGATAAAGCCAAGCATTTTATTTCCAAAGACCGAGTGTAAACAGTGGATTACAAAGAGGTTAAGACGAGAGGCAATCGTGTAGGCAAGAAGCGTTGTGAACTCAGAACAGACAGAACTCAGGTGGCTTCCTGAAAACCTAGATCTAAAATAAAAGGATAGTTAACCCAACTTCTCTTTTTCTCCTAACATGTTGGTACCTTTGTATACAATTATTTGAGGCATGAGTTGCCAGGACTTGGATGTCACCTAACCCAGTGCCCTTAATTTGCTGAAGACTCTGAGACCCAGAGAAGTAAACGTCACAGAGCCAAGCAGGGCAGAGGAGACCCAGCTGCCCTCAGTCTGAGCCAGCTCTCCTAACACGCCTGTCTCTTCACTTCTCCCCATTTTGCTAATCACTTAGCGACCAGCTATCAAGTAGTACTACCGAGATCCTATTCCAAGGAACTACACGATGGATTTTTATAATTCGCATCATCATTTCATTTTGTATTTTAACCTTCATGGGTTTAGGCCTTATATCGCACATACCTAAAACTACTTTTTAAACTGTTGAAAGTCCACTTTCTGTGAGACCCAATAAACCATGACCAGTATGAGGGGCAGTGGTCACTAACATTTATAACGAACTCATCTTCAGTCTCTTGGTTGTGGTGATTCTAAGGGAGTCTTTTGCTCTATGAAAATTTTACACCTGTCTATGAAATCTAGCTCTGCCTCTTGCTAGCTGTGTGATCTTTGAAAAGTCACCTAATGTCTCTGTGCTTCAATAAAATAGGCATAATAATAGAACTTATCTGATAGGGTTGTGGAAGTCTTAAATGAGTTAAGGCCCAGTGCTGGGCATATAGTAAATGCTATAGAAGTGCCAGCATTTGTCAGTCTGGTTAAAAAGTTTCAGCTAGCCACGGGGTGGTCCCAAGTAGACCCCTAATAAAGACAAGGCCTATCTTTGATTACGTATCACCAGAGAGGTTTATCCATAGCTATTTTCAACCTTCCATGAGTCTATGGGGATGTCCCACAGGATCAAGTTGAATTTGAAGGAGGTGACTCTCCCACTGTCCTTGTTTGTAATTATTTTCCTCTGACTACCTGACTCTTCAAGTGTTATTTTTTTCTCATTAAGGAAATAGTGATATCCTATTGTGCAAAATCAGTACTAAACTTACCTGAAAATATCACAAAATCTGCTAAATGTTTTCTAACGATGCTGTTGAATTTCTCCAAATAATGAGAAGCCCATCCTTGTATTTCCTGATTCTGCAACCAAATGCTAATCTTTACTGGTTTAATAAAAGATGCCCATTTGTCCAACAATGAACATGCATTAAGAATATATTATGTGATGGATCCTCAGCTAGTAATACAGAGACATTACCTGTACTCAAGAGAATCACATTGTACCCCTTTTCACGTGTTTATTTCACTCCCATCCATAAAGGACCCACTGCGAGCCAGGCCCTCTTGGGAATAACGTCTAGCGGTGAATGAAACAACGTGGACCCTATC